TTGGAAAATAGATTATGCAAGAATACAAATATGGAGCACAAATACAACACCATCAAGATGATTTAAAAATAAATAAATAAAAAATCATGACACTGTCACGGAGATAAATAGGACCTTGGCTTCATTATTCAGTGGTTGCTTCTTTGATCAAATTTTCCCTTAATTTTGTTTTCTCTTCGTGGTTCACTTTAGATGTGAAATTTTCTTAGATCATTATAGTCTTATCAAATGCTATTGGTGCTGGCAACTTCACAATAAATGTTGGTCCAGTTTCAAGCATTGTCATTTCAAATAAGTTGAATGGCGTAAACATCTTGAAGGTAATGCAGTCATTTTGTTTTAAGAGGAAGTTTACCTTACTGTTTGTATTTTTTAGGTAATTTGTTGGATGTTGTTGAGAAGGTACAGGTACAGGTACTGTTTTAGGTAATTTTCTCTAGTTCTTCCACACTTTCGTCTATGCTCTGAAGTCTTTCATGTGTAGGGCTGTGAGAGAGAAGTTACAGAGTCTGCAAATGGTGTCTCAGAAAGATAGATAAAAAGAACAGAGAAAAAGAAAATGGTTCATCTGACTAGAACCCTTCATATATTGGATTATCGAGAATATGCATAATCACTTAACAATAACTAAATTTGATGACTAGAAGGAAGAAGTTGAGTTAAATGGTGAAATAATAACTGAATGGAGGAAAATGATTTACTTACTTTAACTCAAGTTGTTGGGATATATGATTTGTTGAGTAAATTTGTATACTTAACCTACCTGGCATATGATGGTGCATACAATTGTGTTTATACAGTTGTTTTAGACTAATAGTCATCAATAGATCACTCGTTTGGTTTATTATTTTGTAGCCAGCTTCACCTACCACCCTTGGAAAGGAAATTGCAATTTTTGCTGTCAGATTAAGCAGGGAAAGACGGGATATTTCTCAAGTTGAGATAATGGGGAAGTTTGCCGGTGTAGTTAGAAATTACAATGCACATCTTGTTGCATACCCTGATATTAAATGGCGTCAAATTGCAGAGGAGTTCATGAAATCTCTTGGATTAAGTTTCAATCCCTGTGTGACTCTGGTGTGTTCCATGCACAAGATTTCTTCTCACTTAAGTTTTTATTAGGTTTCTCTGTAATTCTTCACAGACCAGAGTAATTTTTAGAAGTTTTATCAACAAGTTCTAAGTTAACAATCAGTAACCACATTTTGATGGTTCCTTTTGATATGCTCTCTGTTGGCTCGTATAGACCTACCATCCACTGTACGGCTGCTCTATGTACAAAGCTAGAGAAGTCGGTAGTCTTTATTACCTATTAGTTACTCATTAGTGAACTCTCTTCCCAATTTTTATCCCCGTCCTCGCTCCTTATTATTTTTATGTAACAATTAATTCATCCATATTAAACTGTGATAGAGGACATCACTTATGTGTTCCTTGAAAATTCTGAATTCGGGTCATTATCTTCTAGCTAATGCTTTCAATGTTCTGCAAGTTAGTTGCTACTCCAGATTATCAAGAGTGTGCTCGATCCTTGTGAGGATGAAAATGATGACATTCAAGATGATGATGTGAGCTTGGGGGCTGATTTTGTACAAAAGAGTGTTCTGAATTTCATTTCATTTCATGTTTTGGTCAATTTCACGTATATATTATGTGTGTATGCAGTGTAATTCTTAACTAAAATTTTGTATTTGTGGTTGTGTTATTGGGAAACAGATAGCAAAGATCGTGGATGAGGTCCTTGATGAGCAGGGTATGTTTTGAATCCCTGTTTTGTTCTCCTCTAGTGACCTTTTGCGTCAATTTGTTGGAATTTGAACAAAAGTTACTATACTTGAGGAGTGAATGCTAAACTGTGGATTGGACATGGGAAAAGTTATAGCAGTACTTATTTGCTTCTGTTGATTACCGTTAAATTTTTTTGATAAATTGTGGTGTCTTGCATCTCTATAAATTGTTGAATGTTACCATTGTATTTAGTCCTAACCATGCATGCTATTACCTTCTGTTTGAAACATGCGTTGTAATAATATTTTAGTCCCAGTTTCTTGTAATTTCTGTTATCATAGGCAAATATACATGTTTACTGTACTATTTGCATAGCTAAGATAGTACAGAAATAAATAATTTGTTGCTAGTCAAAAAAATGTAGGTCTTGTTTGGTTGTGTGGAGGTTTGTGTAAGTGACTTCACTCTAGGACATACTCCAATTTACATCCATCCCATTGTTGTGATTGCAAAGAGAATTGAGTACCATGCCATATAACTCTATTGAAGTGGGCTTTACATTTGCAAATAAACAAAGAGTGAAAAGATGACTTATTGAAATATTAATGGAGAAATTATATTCCTTTAGGTGATGGGTAAAGTGTCATTGTCTGTTCCAATCGTGCTCTTGTTACCTTGAATTAGTGTTTATTTCTGTTTTGCTCATGATTATGTTTATCATTTACAGGTGGAAAGCGTCTTGTTCCAGTGGGTCTTGGAGATGATGATCAATGCATGGAAGATGACTTTGCTGCATGGTATTAAGAACATGAATCATTACCTGGAACTCATAGCATATATATTTTTGCAACTTCTTTAAGATATATAGAAATAAAAGCTTAGTTACTGCTGCTAATGTAGGCGGGAATTACTTTGGCGAGAGTTAGATCAGTTGCTTAAGGATGATGACAGTTCAACTGTTGCAACTCCTTACACCACTGCTGTGTTGGAATATCGTGTGGTATATCATGACGGCACAGATGCATCAATATTGGACAAGAGCATGAGTATGTCAAATGGTCACGCTGTTCATGATGCACAACATCCATGCACATACCAAAAGAATGTTTTAAATCCTGAATTTTTCTGTTGCCAGTTAATTATACGCTTTTGCTTCTGTAACCTAACAAATATTTTATCTTGGAATTAAGGTCTAATGTGGCTGTGAAAAGGAGCTTCATACTGCTGCCTCTGATCGATCTTGCACCCATCTAGAATTTGACATTGCTGGAACTGGACTTGTGTAAGTTGCAATTCTAATTCACTTAATTATGGATGTATATTTGGAATAAGGTGATGACAAATTCTGTCGACTTACTACTATTATTTATTTTTGGTAAGCAAATTGTCAACTGGATTTTGCTTTAGCTTTAAATGGAAAATGCCTGCTCTTTAAATTTAAAACAAATTGGATTAGAAAAGGCATGCATTTAATGATGAATCAACTTTGTTCATTTATCTTTCTTCACTTCCTTTGTCCACAGATATGAAACTGGGGACCATGTCAGCGTGTACTGTGAGAATGTGATTGACATTGTGGAGGAAGCTGAAAGGTTAATGGATTTATCACCAGATACAAATTTCTCCATTCACACCGATAAAGAGGATGGCACTCCACTTTGTGGTAGCTCATTGCTGCCTCATTTCCCTGCATGTACCATAAGAACAGCACTGACTCGATATGCGGATCTTTTGAGCTTTCCGAAGAAGGTAGGGCCATTGTTTGTTTAGTTATGTGTTGCTCATAATATTATATATGTGAACTCTCATTAACTAATTTGTTAAATGTATGTGTTTTCCAGTCTGCATTACTTGCCCTGGCAGCTCATGCTTCTGATCCAAGTGAAGCCGAGCGATTGAGGCATCTTGCATCTCCTGCTGGAAAGGTTTGCAATTTTTTGGTTCAGAGTTTTCATAATAAAGTGGTTCATCCATCATAGTTTTTAACGCTATCTTTCCTATCTACAGGATGAATATGCACAATGGGCAATTACAAGTCAGTGAAGCCTTCTTGAGATTATGGCAGAATTCTCATCAGCCAAGCCTCCACTTGGTGTTTTCTTCGCATCAGTTGCCCCACGCTTGCAGCCTAGATATTACTCAATTTCATCCTCCTCAAGGTGAATAATACCACAGCCTAGATATTACTCAACTCCAATCTGCTAAGCTTTCTTGAGATTTTGGGTCAGTTGCTAGTAGTCCTGATTCAAATGAAGTGAGAGAGAGGGAGGGAATCCCTGATTTGGAACATGAAAGAGAAATTAGCCAAAAAGCCAACAACCCATACCAAAAAGTCAAAGATTCTCTTTTCTCTCTACTTTTTGCACATCTTTTCGTAATTAGCCAAAAAGTCATCACAAACATACAAGTTTTTTTTACTTACCTTTTTAGCCAAATAGCCAAAAAGTTACTAAATTAGCCTGTTCCCAAACGAGGCCTGAGTCTTTTAGAGAAGTTCACTTGGGGAAGAAGTTGAATGAAGAGATGAAGAACTCGAGAGGGCACTTCCTCCAGGGAAGTGCTATCACAGAAACAGAGTAGTGAGGGCAGTTCAAGGTCAGTGCGATTGCAAAACAATGTGGGGACTTCAAGAGAAGTACCAGAAGAACAATATTATGAGGCAACACATTCTGTTGCTGTGAAAGAGGATAAAGGAAGTCCCGATACAATCTCACGTGAATTGGCATGACCAAAAATAAAAAAATGGTACACCTAGCTTACATATTTTTTCCTTTTATTTTTTGGTTGCGTTTGTTGTTTGATTTTGGTTTAGAAATAGTCATGTAATGTTTGCTTAAATGTAGTCAATATATTAAAATAGCAGTAAAGTTTTATCCATATTATTGTTATTTTTCAGCTTTATTACAGTTATGTTTTTTAGTTAAATCTAACAAAATTAGCACAATTTAAAAATAAAAAAAATAAAAAAAAGAAGCTATAACGGCGTTTTTCCAAAACGCCACTACAGTGTCAATGGTCATTTTTAAAATAGGAAAAAATCTATCACGACGTTTTTTAAACGTCGCTAAATATTGGATGACGTCATTTTTACCATACTATCACATTTAGCATACTAATTCTAGCGACGTTTTTAAAGCGTCATAATGCTATAGCGACGGCCGCATCTTCGACGTTTAGTACAAAACGTCACAAAAAGAATTAGCAGCGTTTCTTACACCAATAGCGGCGTTTTTTAAACGCCACTAAATGTAAAATTTCCAGCAGTGTATGCCAACCCGCAAATATGTTTCTTTCATGTGCTCTTCAAGGTATGGGTTATTTAATTATGTCTTTTACTAGTGTACATTGTAATTCCATTTTTCTTTGTAATATCACAATTAGTTGATTTGGGCAGGCAGCAGCTTTGGCATTTTACAAACTTTCAGCTCTCTTTGTTGATAGCTTTGTCATCATTTTTGTGGTCACTGTTCTTCTTGCTGCTCTTGATTTCTGGGTAGTCAAGAATGTGAGCGGGCGTATCTTGGTTGGTTTGAGGTGGTGGAATGAAATAACGGACGAGGGTGAGAGTGTGTGGAAATTTGAATGCCTTGACCAAGAGGTTGGTGATTGTGTTTAATTTATTCTTAGTATTAAATTACTGTATGGATCAGGATCATGATTTCTGGGTAGTCATGTATGTTCTACTTACAGAAAAATAAGTTTTTATATCAGGATCATGATCACCGTATTAGCAATGTAGTTGTACCTACAATATGTGAGAAAGATACATATTGAAATGACATAGATCTGGATCGTATTGTGTGATACATCTTCATATCTAGATGATACTGACGACCCTGGAAGACATCAATTTTCTGTAAGCTACATGATCACAAAATTCATATGTTCATCATCTTGATTTTTTACTCCCTCCTAATGCGACTATAACAGGGGTATATTAATATCCAAATGATTATTGTTGATTGTCAATTAAGTATGACTCACTTCATAAGGTCTCAATTTCCTTCTTTTCATTACAATTGGTTCTTGTAAAAGCCTGCTTGAAGTGGTTCTCCTGTATCTTGAATCTAACATTGGTATGATAGAGAGATTGAATTTTCTTATGTTGGCTAAACTGAGCAAGTATACTTTTGTTTGTTCTGTTGAATGGAGGACACATCTCTCGACTGAGATAAAATCTCACTTGTGCTTTCCAGGAAAATAGCGAATGGAATGATTGGCAAACTACTGTTTTGCAGGAGCGTAATATTGTGGAAAATGTCTACAGATGGGCTTGCGGGTATGCTTATGATTGTGTTTTAATGCATAGTGTGATTAGGATGTCAGTGCACAGTACAGGATGATGCTTGTTGCTCTGATGAAACTCAGCCCATCTGGTTGCTACTTTTTGCATCCAAAATATTTGAGGTTCATTGCACTTTATCATAAAAGTAGCATAAGAGGGAAGGGGACATGGCTATTGGCAAGATTCAGTAGTAAAATTTTGATATCCCACATTACTAAACTAAAAAAATCCCCACCATCGTTGTATTTTCTGTGTTTGTTCCCTTTTGTAGCCTGCTCCCAATATTTGTTGGCCTGTTTTACTTCCTGATAATTATTTATTTTCTTTCTTTTTGATGTACAGGCGCCCAACTGCATTGCAAGATAGGACAAGGGATAGTGATGAGGATGATCTTCATGACAGAGATTTTGATGTAGCAGCTTTAGCAAATAATCTTAGCCAAGCATTTAGATACTCGATATATGATAATGAGGATGCTGAGGAGGTATTAGTGGACTCTATTGTATGTTTTTCTTACAATGCCTTTCTTTTTGTTGACAGACTCTTTAGATACTATAAATTTATCTTTGCCATTGGTTGCAGGGCAATGGGGCTCTTGATCGAGTTGATGAGGTAATAGTTTTTTCTTTTCTTTTTTTTTTCTCCACCCTTTCAAATCTATGGTCTTTTCTCCCTCTGATTCAATTGAAAAGAAACTGAAGGCTGGTTAATATGAATCTGCATTATTGAATTGGAGGCAGCATACTTTGCATAAGAACTCTTTCAGCTGTTTATTCTGTTTTATTTATTTTCTATGAAGGAAAAATTAGATTGCAATTGTTGTATTGTAATTACTTGAACAAATAATTTGTGTATCCATGTGCTTTCATATTGTTTCTAATTGCAGCTATGCATATGTTGATTACAGTCGTGAAGAACTTTCTTATATTGAAGAGTTATAGTGAACAATAGGAACTGAAGGAATGAATTGAGTGGTTGCGAAGTGTTTTCATTGTAATTCAGTGAGCTCAAGAATCTCTGTGGTTCTTTCTTGAATAATGGGTTCAAGAATTCAGATCTGTTTGCTGGTTGTTTCTGTCCAAATTTTACTTGTAGCAGCACAAACGAATAATGACTGTAAGTTCCATTCTTATGCCTAAATTGTTAATAGTTATATTATTGTTGAATGATATCTGCATATGAGAGGCTCCAATATGTGTTCTTTCTTGCTTTGATTAATACAATCAAGAATACATCCCTGCTCATCAGTTAATGCATCCTCCAAAAACACAAAGTATATGCTAGTCCTGTTTATGGTTTCTTTCTAACACCTCATTTATTGTGGGGTTGATCGCTGATAAAGGAGAAGAAACAAAAATGAAATAAAAAATTGTGTTTTATGTTGTTTCTTATAGTGAAAATTAAAATGATCTGCACTCCACTGCTGGATGTTATCTTCTCTTGGTTTCCAAATGACACAAGATTTGAGATTCAAAGTTTGAATAAATATACATTTTTACTTTTATTTTTAGCCCCAGGTCTTTCAGCAATCAAAGGAAAGCCTTACTCAAATAGGGACTGGGTTTGAATATAGGCTGAAACATGAGTTGAAGGGTCCTAGCTATGGTCTTCTCGATTCACCACTGCGAGATTTTAAATGCATGTCCTTGACTGGGTTATAAGAAGCCATTTCTGTCTGGAGTTTTCTAATTTACCTGGGAATAATTTCCACAATGTAAGGATGTGAATCCCTTCCCACCTCTGGAATACATAGTTGCATTCCTACTATGTGTTAACTGCTTTCCGAAACTAGAAATCTTAGGTCTTATTTAGCATCAAGTTTTCAACTTGCATACTAGTTTTGGGGTCACTAGGGAGCAAGCTTTAGATGTCCCAGTTCTTTAACCGAAATATCAAATGTTCTTGATTATTCAGAAGTGGTAATCCTTGAAATAATAATTCTTGGTCAAATGAAATCTGTTAAGAGGCTGAGATCTAGAAAGCTGTTCCTCTTTTTTTGTTTTTTTTTTTTGGATTTCTGGCTGCTGTTGGTTTCTCACGTCTGTATTCCTGAATCCTCATGCAAAAATTCATTTGACCAAGTTGTTTAACAATTCATTTCTGGCTGCTGTTGGGATGAAATTCATTTGACCAAGTGGCGGTCACATGAATTCATTTGGAATTCATTTGACCAAGTTTTTTTGGATTTCTGGCTGCTGTTGGGATGGAATTCGGTGCAACAATTCATCACATGGTTATTTTTGCATTGCCCAAGTTGTTTAAGAAATGCCCACTGGAATTATGCACAGCACACTTGAATTATGCCACTACCAGAATTATGCACGCTTGAATTATCCCACTTGAATATTAAATTATGCAAACTTGAATTATGCCCTGTTTTTTTTTTTTTAGGAAGTGCGCACACAATTAAATTATGTTGAAAATTTGTAAACTTTTAAACCGCCAAACCGATTCGTATCTATCCGCCAATCCGCTCAATCCGCTTAATCCGCATCCGCCAGATTGGCGGACGGATGCGGATTGATTTTCTCCAATCCGCCAATCTGGCGGACGGATGTAAAAATGCATACGTAATGCCATGCAAGTGCCAACATGAAGGAAAGTTTTATTTTAATGCACTATTTCAAAATCACCATGTTTTCAATAATACTTTGTAATCTCATTAATTTCAAACTTCCAATATTTAAATCAATAGGGGTGGTAAATACGACACTGGTAATCCCTAAGTTGGTGTCTGCAAGTAGACTCTACGAGTACTACCAAACTATTATTTTTACCGGTATTAACTGGAAGGCTCGACACTTATCCGCGCGGTTTTTCTGGTCTTTCACCAAGGACACTCAGGCCAACTTAACAAGTTCAACTACACCCCATATCCGGACTTACCACCGTATTTATCCCATAAACATTTCCATTAGTTCTCATTACAATGATCTTCCTCAAAATAAATGCTTTTCCAATTCATGTCAAGATGTGTAATAATGACAATAAAACAATTGAGAATATGATGCAATAACTACTAATTCATAGCATTCCTTTATATTCAAAACATGTCCACAACAATACTCAACATCACATTTTCATTTCCTCCTTACCATGTTCTTCCACAAGGTACCCATACGTCTCCAACACATAGTTACAATTTCTCATTTCGCGCAATAGTCGTGTCTTCAGCACACCACAACAATTCCTCAAAAATAATTCATTATGACCAAACTTTCAATATGTCCAGCATGCCATCTTTCATTTCATTTCCCATTACATTATGATTAAGCATTTTCACGTCATCGATGGCACTCAACAACTTACCATCTTATAACATTACAAGATTATATGAAATTTTCAAACATCATCCTCCAAGATTTCAATTTTCACAACCCATGGTGCTCAACAATTATCATCTTACCTCATTACAAGTTCAAGTGTTAGCAACAATGTTAAAATACCATCTCATATCCCATGTGTCAAGTATATTGTTATTATGTTAAACATTTGGTGGAACTTACTCTCATACATCCTCTTAATACAAGAAAGTAAATAATTTCAAAGACATTTTCATCATTTTGTAAAATCCCCAATTTCTAGGGTTTTTATTTGAGAACAAACTTGCCTCATTTTCTAAGAGAAACACCATCAAATCATTCATCATGCATTTAATAGAGGAAAACCCCCCAAAAATATAGTAAAAGATTGAGTTACAAACTCTCTTTCAAAACCCTCTCTACATTTTGAAGAAAAATCAAAATCAACACAAAACCTCAAGAACACTTATAAAATCAAAATCACTATGGCAAAACTTGTATATATAACTCAAGAAATCCCTACCTCAAGCTTGATGAAGAGAGAAAAGACGAAACCCTAACTCCAAGATGAGAGAGAGCTTTGATTCCTACCCCACCAAGTGAAGCTCTTGCCCTAAATCTTCAAGATTAGAGGAAAATGTTGATGATCTTGGCTTAAGATTTGTAAGAATCCAAGTGTTGTAGATGTTTGAGGGAGTTTTCTAGAGAGAAGGAGGAGAAAAATAGGGTTTAGAATGAGAGAGAAGTGAGCAAAATGTGAGATACATTCGGATTAAAAAGAGGGGAAAAAACAGGGCTCGGACTGCCCAGTTGGCCGCTCGTGCGACCCACCTTGACCGCTCGTGTGGCCCTTTTCAGAATGCAATTTTTTGTGTGTCAAGCTTCACCGCTCGAGCGGCCCTTCTCCGCACGTGCGGCCTCGCTCCCGGCACCCTGGACTCACCCGCACACCCTCCGGAATGACCAAAATTCAACACTGAAAGGAACAAGAATTAGGAAACCATTTCCGGACATTTCAATCCAACGAAAATAAAAGAGAATGAAGCGAAGAAAGAAAGAAGAAAAGGGAAAAAGAAGGCCGGTCGTTACACAAGATGACTGGAGAGAACAATTTACAGATAAAAACATATCAACCTAAACACTCTTGCTGTAGAACTTACAAGAATAGACAAATTACTAGTTCTTGGTTGGCAAAGAAATATGTCCAGATATTTAGGACCACCCCAACATTGAAAGTGAATGAGTTTCAGGAAGCTATCAAATAGGATTTTGTTGTAAGTGTGTCAACAATGAAACCTTATAGAGCCAAAAAGATGACAATTTAGAAGATTGAAGGAACCAATGCTGAACAATATAGTAGGATATGGGATTATGTAGCTAAGTTGAAAAGAATCAATGAGGGCACTAATGTTGACACAAATGTGTAGAGGCCTCAATTGGAAGTTAAACCTAGGCTTCAGAGAATGTATGTATGCCTTGGTGCAATTAGGAGAGGGTTTCTATCTAGTGTGAGACCATTAATTGGGTTGGATGCTTGTTTTCTAAAAGGACCTTGCCAAGGGTAGTTATTTGCAGCTGTTGGATGGGATGGAAACAATCAAATGTATCCAATAGCTTATACTATAGCTAAGGCAGAGTGTAAGGAGAGCTAGACTTCGTTTTTACACAATTTGTTACAAGATATTGGCCCAATTAAAGAACATAGATGGACATTTATGACTGAGCAACAGAAGGTAAATATTTTTATGTATTCCTTATGTTTTTAAATACTCTTATCATTATGTCATTCATAGACTAATGTTGTCAATTAATTGTTTGGCTATGCTATCTATTTTTGTTACAAGGACTTGTTCCAAGCTTGAGAATGGTATGCCCTGAAGCCAATCACAGGTTCTGTTTCAGACATTTGTATGTGAACTTCAAGAAGTTGTTTAAAGGAAAAGAGTTGAAGGATTGTGTTTGGAAAGCAGCAAAAGCATACACCAGGGTTGAATGAGAGAGGTACATGACTAAGTTATAGGGAGTAAATAGTAAGGTATATGCCTGGATGATGAGAGTGAACCCAGTCCAATGGTCTAGGCATGGGTTTAGTCCAAGAACCAAATCCAATAGGCTCCTTAATAACATCTCTGAATGCTTAACTTATGGGTGATACAAGCTAGGGACAAACACATCCTTACCATGATAGAGATGATTAGAAGGGCTTTGATGGTGAGGATACATAAATGTAGGGACAGCATGCTGAAGTACAAAGTAGGGGTGGGCGCGGGTCAGTTACGGCCACGGAACCTCCAATCCGCCATCCGTCCGCCATATTGGCGGATTGAAGAAAATCAATCCGCATCTGTCCGCCAATCCGGCGGATGTGGATTGAGTAGATTAGCGGTTTGACAGATGGATGCGAATCGGTTTGGCGGTTGAAAATTTTATAAATTTTCAACATAATTCAACTTATGCACTTCCTCAAAAAAAGAAGAAGAAAGTATTACAGTCAATGACTTAAACAAATATTACAATCAGTGCATGCCTCATCCAAAACAAGAAAGTTTGAAACTTTAGAATATCACAATCTCTGTATGCCTCATCCACATACTACAATCACAACATGCCTCATCCACATAAAGTATTACAATCTGTAATTCTTAAAATATAAAAATAATTTAAACCGCCAAAACCATGAACAGAGCAGTAGTAGAGATTGTACGTCTCTGTATTGTTACGTCTATATCTGTTTTTGAAAACAAAAACCAACCAGCATATATCATATTTTCTATTTATTATTTTTAGAGATAGATTTAAAAACAAAAAAATATAGATAAATAATACGTTTATTTTTTTCAATTCAAAAAAGATATTCACGTTGAATTTTTTTTTTCAACAGAATATTTAAACTCTTTTTTAATTGAAAACACAAACAGAATATTTAAACAAACTGAAAACACAAAGTCTTATAAATTACTAGAGGTGCTCGCGGTTTGGCGGTTCAGTTGCGGCCAAAGGAATCTCAAATCCGCCATCCGTTTGCCAGATTGACGGATTGGAGAAAATCAATCTGCAATCGTCCGATCATCATCACGCATTCGTCCAAAATGTGACGGATTGGATCGGTTCGGTCGGTTTTAACGGATCGATATATCCGCTGCTCACCCCTAGGGAATTCTATTTACATCAAAAAAAAAATTTGTATTAAGTAAGTCTAATTAAAATTTTAATATTTATTATATCCTAATATAAATTTATTAATAACGACAATAAATTAAATTTTAAAATAAAATATTATTTTTTTCATAGTATACCTTAATCATATAAATGTATTTTTCATATTCTTCTCTAAATTTTAGTTGTTTTCTCTTCTTCTTCTCACTCAAAAACTCCAAACCACCCCAACAAAACGCACCGTTATTATTAACATTATTGTTTCTTATCCTTGCTGAGAGGGTAATTTGTAAACAAATTGGGCCAAGCTTGGAAAAGTCTTCTTTGAAAGTTGGGCCGCGTAATGGGCCGAGATAAGGGTTGGTATTCCTCGGTCTTAGGCTAAAAAGACATCTCATATTTTGGATTTAGGCTGAACTATGGGCCGAGGTGTTTGGACTTCGCAAGTTGGACCTCGTCCTTGTTAGTTCGGTCAGAGACTGCTGCAGTTACCTCGGTCTAAATAGACAAAACCGAGGTAACATCAATAGCGAGGGCCGAGCTGTGTATAACTTGGTAGGATGGCATTCGATAGATCGGCTTTCGATCAGACGGTCCGAATGGCAGAGAATCGAGATAAGGCAGTTCGGTCAGAAATGTATAACTGAGGTAAAGGGTTCAGCAATCTCACTTGGCTTGCAGTGATGAGACTCCTAATAGGACTCTGCTAAGGAGAGTTAGAGTTCTACTGGTATTGTGTAAACCATCTCACTTGGTTAGTAGTGAGTAGGGTGCGTAATTCCTAGAAGGAGTCTTATAAGGAGAGTTGAAAATCCTACTAGGATTGTGCCAAGGAAAGTCTATAAAAGCTCATGGCCAGACCTATGGACATGTATCCTAATTCTTACTTTATAATATACAAAGCTTATTGTCTATTGTCTAGTTGTTGGCTTAGGCATCGGAGGGGTTTCTGGTACACACCCGCCGGTTAGTTCACATTTGTGTTTTCAGATGGCAAAGCAACGTTGTTTGGAGGAGTGTAAACTTGATTAACAGGATCATGCGAGAAGAATTATTTCGTGCTCGTATACTTGCGAATATAAAAAAGTTTAAACAAAATCAAACATTGGATGATAATAATAATGAAAACTATTTTTTGAAGCAACCCATCAAAGATAAGGTAATTATTTACATAAATATCAAAGTACAATTCTTGATTTTTATGTTATGTTATGTTATGTTATTTATTTTTTACTTAAAAACAAATATTCAGTCTGTTTAATGTCATTACTGTTCGAATTTTCAGATCCGAATGTGCAGTTTTGAAAGTCTGAACATGGTGACTTTTTCTGTTCGTTCAATTTCAAATTTGCAGAAAAAGCCTGATTTACTCTATGATGTGAGCGAGCTCCAATAGACTACTGTGGTCAGTGCGAAGTTAAAGTTTAAGCCCAGTGAATGCAAATGCGAAGTTCTAATTTTCAAGCTTGAACGTTAAGTTTATCCTCTCATTCTCTTTCACCAGCACCGTGTTCCTTGTATCTGAACAAGGGGAAAGTTTTTGAAAGGTTTATCAAATAATTTGCATTTTTAAATTAGTTTATTATTTATTATTTGAATGTACTTTGAAAGGTAAATTGAAAAAAAAAATATAGGAAGCGTGGCCGATAGACACGAAAGATTGAATCCTCCCATTTGGTAGATAGACACGGGAGCGTGGCCGATAGACACGTAAAAAATATAGGTAAATTGAATCATCCCATTTAGTAGATAGACACGTAAGATTGGGCCGGGCCATTTTGCGGGCTTTGGAAGAGACGTGGTTGGACTTCACGTGGGTTTAAGAAAGAAAGAGCCATTTTGCAATTTTCACTCACTCGCATCTGAAGCGTGGCGGTTCTTTGTTGGATTTCGAAATTCGATTCGTATTCCTCTCTCTCTCTCTCTCTCTCTCTCTCTCTGTCTGTTCATCATCACTTTCCAACGGCTATCGACTTTTGAATTGGTGTAAGGTTGAATGCGATGGGGGAGAAAGTGAATGCAATGAAGGGAGGGATGAAAGATGGAGGAAGAAGCGTCGTTGATTTGGATTGTTCTATTGTTCTTGTACCGGATAAGGAAAAAGATGAGGGTACCCCTGTGAGAGCCATATTTTGTCTTAAAAACAACATTAATATGAGAGAGATTGAAGAGAGAGAAGACTGCTTTATTCTCGATTTCGATCCCGATGATTGTTTTGACCTCTCCAAGCTCTCCATGTCTAAGGATCTTTATCATAACCCTGATCTCTCTGTTCTTGCCGAAAAAGGCCAGGTAAATATCCTCTCTTTCTCTCTGTACATACATATATGTATGAACAGACTCATGAATTCCAAAATTTTTCAAATGGGTTTGTTTCGTGTTCTTTAGAAAATTGTTTTTGATTTATTATTATTATTATTATTATTATTTTTTAGATTCACATAAATTATATGCACCTAAAAAAATCAATGAATTTTTTAATTAAAAAAAGTTATATTTTTTTGGTTTTTGTTATTATTATTATTATTATTTTTGGTCTCTAATAAATATTTTGTTTCATATTTTAATTAGAAGATTTCAATATTTAGTAAAAAGTTTTAAAAACAAAAAAAAATCACTATAAAATTCACATAAATTATATGCACCTAAAAAAATCAATGAATTTTTTAATTAAAAAAAGTTATATTTTTTTGGTTTTTGTTATTATTATTATTATTATTTTTGGTCTCTAATAAATATTTTGTTTCATATTTTAATTAGAAGATTTCAATATTTAGTAAAAAGTTTTAAAAACAAAAAAAATCACTATAAAAAAATTAAAAATAAAAATGTTAAAGCAATTTTTGAGTTTGAAAATCTAAGAAGGTGATCTGCTATTATTATTATTATTATTGTTGATTAGGAACATTCAATTCAACATTCTTGAATCGGGTTTTTTCTTGGATCAGTACTCCAATATTGCTCTTTCTTAATCTCTATGTAAATATATGAATGATGATGGTGATGATGATGATGATGGATAGGTGGCATGTAGAGATTATCCACATTCAAGGCATCTCTGCTTCAAGAATCCCTTTGAGAAGACTCCCCACGAAAGCTACTGTGAACTCGTAATCTATCTCAATAGAGAGGCCTTTTTTAATTCAATCAATATTGTCTTTGAATTCTAAGTGAGAAGTTGAATTTTTTATTCAATTATTTGTTATGTCTGATAGATGTTTGGTTGAATGCAGTGCTACTGTTTTGTTTGTGACAAAGCTGCCCCTTGCAAATATTGGTCTGAACATGGACATTGCCATGCCATTGACAACGAAGCATGGAGGTTTGCAAGGAAGGCAACGAGACAACAGAACCGATGAAATTAATGTTTTTTGTTTTCATGATCTCATTGTTTTTGATGTTTTGGCCAATGTTTTAGCTAAGAAAAGAAGTATATGTATAAGTCCTGCCTTCCTTGAAATTTTGAAATTTTTTGGCACTCACTTGCAGCTATTTATGTAGCTAATTAGCTTGAAACTCCAATGTGTGCTAAACTTGGGAGATAAAAATATATCTAGCTTTGGTTAAAGGGTTAAATTATTAGACCCTTCCCATCTGTGTTTAAGAATGATGGCATTCGATCTTTTATCTTGACATTTTTCTATTCTTTATTATAATGTACTTTTAGTTACATAATTATATCTCAAAATATTTATGTTTCGAAAGAATAATGTTATTCGAACAAAACACTCGAAATTTTCCTTAGCATTTCATCATTTGGTTTGGAATGATTTAAGTAATTTCGTTCATTTGGTTTGTTTGTTGTATAAACATGGGTAGAAAAAAGGCTTCCTTAATAATCAACACATTAATGAATTGTAAAAATGTAAAAGATGCTATTATATATCTATATAATATTTTATCAAAAACATTTCACGTCAATATACATATAATTTGTTATATAAATACACACACAAAAAAAAAAATGATGAAATATATTCTACTGTGAAAAATCATTTTCACATAAGGGTGTTTTTTCTTGTTTTTTCCTGATGGATAAATCTTAGGTTAACTTTCAAAACTTTTTGAATTTAACTTGCTCTAATTTTTATTTTTCTTCTATTTGTTGAATTGTTAAAGTAATGTTATGCATAAACAAATTTATAATCAAAATTTCTTGCTACTAAACATAAAAATAGTGGAACTTACATTAATAAATAAAGAAATAAATATAAAACTTGTCTTTATGCTTAATGATAAAACAAAATCTTGTAAAAACTTTATTGAATTTTTTTGGATTATTATCATTATTAGGATAAATTACATTCACAATTTCGAAGTTTAAGAAAAATATAATTAACCTCATACTTTTGACATAATTGCATTGATATTTATTTTAATAAGCCTAAAATGACTAAAAATAATGTAGATGGTAGGTGAAAACTGAATACATAAAGATAAATATACATTTTAGTTGAAAATTGATGACATCATTTTTTAATTTATACTATTAACAAATTATTGATTAAAAAAGTAATAATGTTTAATCCACCAAATTTTGCTCCACCCGAATTGCTCAAATGAAAATCTTAAATGTAAGATATTCACTTTTACCTGGTCTTTTACCTAGTCGAATTCGGACAATTCAAGCGGAGCAAAATTTGGTGTATGTAGCAGTACTGTTAAAAAAGACCTAACTATTGTGTAAATTAATCTCAAGAGAGTCCAACGTAATTATGTCAAAAGTATTGGACTAGCTGTATTTTTCTTATACCTCAAGGGATGTGAGTCTAATTTACTGTAACAATAATAATAATCCAAAATTTTTAAATGATGTTTATACAAGATTTTGAAAAAATATAGTTACCTCCGCACATTCGATATAATTACACTAACCTTACTTTCTGTAAGGTTAAAATGACCAATATTTTAATGGTGGATAGACACTAAAATAAATATAGATAAATATACATTTTAATATAATAAATTTTTATTCATGTAACTGACAAATTATTGATTAAAAAAGAATCTAAGTTTTATTTGAATTTAATTTTTGAGAAAAACTAATATAATTAAGGCACTTGGCCCATAAATCCAAATTTCAATTTTGTTTGGCCAAAGGTCCAAGCACTGGAATACTTTGTCCAAAAGACAAGCTTAGGTAAAATGACCAAAATACCCAGGCTATATATATACCTACTTAGGGCCTCTTTTGTTTTGGGAGATAGAGGTGGGAATGAGATTGAGATTGAGATGGAGATAGCAATGTTTTAAAAATCGGACCAGTGAATGAACCATAAAAGAGATCGGGTGGATGGGTCACCGGTTCAACCGTTAGGTTGAACTGGAATCGAACCGTGACGTAATAAATATATTAAAATTATATTTAAATAAAAATATAAGTAAAAAAATTATAAATTAAAAATATTAAATTATCTTAAATATTTCTCCTAATATTTTTTTTTACTGAAAAATATAATAAATATATTTTAAAATATTACTTTTACCATTTAATGGCCTCTCTCCTCTTATTAAATGCCCTCTGTTCTACCCATAAAATTGGTTCCTTTTCCCAACAAACAAAACAGTAGTAGCTCTAATCTCCAATCTTTCTGGTCTCAATGGAAATGAAAGTGGAAGAAAAGAACAGAGAAAAAGGGCAAAACTTTCCTTTTTACCAAACAAAAGAGAGAAAGTGGAAGTCTAAATTTTTTTTCCCCATTTGGATTCCTTTACTTTGATCTCTCACGCTCTCTGCAGGTTTGCTCCCCCATTTTTATTTTTTTGATTTGGGTTTGTGACGCTGAGCCAAGAGGTTAGTGGGTTTGTTTCACTGTGTTCTCTGGGTTTCTCATCTCTGGTTTCTCTCTACAAGATCTCTCTCTACAAGATCTAGCTAGATGGTTGATTTGGAAGATAAGCAACGAAAAAAAAAAAATAGATATGATTTTTTTTTATATATCTATATAAGTAAACCGGTCCGGTTCAATTAACCCTTAAATGGGTCGACTGGTTCACTGGTTAAACCACCAGCATCACCGGTTCTCTATAAATACACTGGTTTTTCTATTTGAACAGTTTAAGAGGGCCAATCGGACCGAAACTTCATCCGGTCACCGGTTCTTCAACCGGTTGAACCGGTCAGTCCGATCTGGGTTTTAAAACTTTGGGCGGTAGAACCCATTATATGTTGTGTTTGTTTTGAGAGATGGAGAGGGGATTCATAATCCCATGAGATTATGATGGGCCTTGGTATTGGGATTGAGATAATGGAGGTGGTATTAGGAAATTAGTCATCCGGTTTAGGTTTTTTTTTTTACATGTTAGACATTTTTATTTAACATTAATGTTTAATGTTTTTGTATTTTTTTAAAGTAAAAATTATAATTTTATTTGATTTAATATTTTGTGTTTCTTTTATAGGGTAATAATTAACAATCCTCACACTAACAACTATCATCAAAACAAATATAATTTTATTTAATCCCTTCATTATCAATCCCCTCACAAACAATCCCCTCATTATCAATTCCCTCTATTCTACATCTAAAAACAAACGGGGCTTAGGGGTAAAAGCCTCTCCATCGCCTTGCTTTTCTCTTGTTTGCTCTCAGATCTCTCTCTCTCTCTCTCTCTCTCTCTCTCTCTCTCTCTTCAACATGACCACTTCTCTGTTCTTCTCCGTCGACCTCCCTCCGCTTTCTTCAGCTACCAGTGTCATTCTTTTCTCTCATTCGTCTACTTTGCCACCTTTCTCGTCAAGTTTGTTGTTATCGTCTCTCTTCGCTGAAACAATGGATGTCTCTGACGAAAACCAAAGCGTTTCAGCTTTTGGTGATGGAGTAGAGGCAAGGGTTCTACAAGAGATGAGAAGAGAAAAGCACATTCTTCTCTCTCTATCTCTTCCTCTTCAAACCCTAACTCTCACTCTCTCTCTCTCTTTCTCTCTCTCCTCTACTGTTGCTCATTTTCCATTGCTACTCCACCATAAGATCTAGATTTGTAGCTTCACCACTGCCGATCTTGAAATCCAAATCCACCACCACTGCCACAAGATCCAGATCTAAAATATTTGGGATATTTCCAAAGGGTTTCGTGTTTGGAACGATGACTTCGGCTTATCAAGTCGAATGAATGGCCAACAAGAACAGCCGTGGCCCTAGTGTCTAGGACGTCTTCATTCAAACTCCTTGCATACACACATACACTTCTTCTACATTTACAGGTATATATGTATTGCCCCGTATTGTTTCTCTTTTGGGTAAATTACACTTACACCCCTTGAGGTTTGAGTTTAATACATATCACCCTTGACGTTTGGAAAAATACACTAACCCCTTGTCATTGTAATTATTTAGATGGAATGAAGACATTGAATTCATACACTCTCTCTTTTCTTGCTTTGCTTTACTTCTTTTGTTTTTTTGTTTTGTTTTCCTTTCCTTTACATTTTTTTTTTTCAATGTAATTTCCTTTGTTTTGTACTGGGAGTTGTTATTTTTTATATAAGTAGGGGGTTTGTGAAATGAGACTATTAACCACAGGGGTGTGAATGTAATTTTCAAAACGTTAGGGGTGGGATGTAATTGGACCAAACCTCAGGGGGTGTCAGTGTAATTTATCCTTCTCTTTTTTACTTTTATTTTTATTTTTTGATATTTTGTTTTAATTTTGGATATGAGATTATGAGTTTTTGAACATAGGAATTGAAGCTAATAATGCTACCAAAGCTATCTCAATTGACCAATATCATCGCTACAAAGAATATATTTATGTATATGCCGTGAAAAGAAGATCTAGATCTGTTCATCAACTATTCCTTTCTATTTTTTTACATATCTAGGGTTAGAGTTTTTAGGAAATGGTGACTAGCAATGCTTATGTTTCATTTTTCTTTGGTTGGTTGTTATTTTGAATCAATTTGATCATGTTGTATACTATAGATACAATTTTGTTTTTTTTTTAATTAATTTTTTGATGTTATTGTTGTTGATGATGATGATGATAATGAACATATAGGATTTGGTGATGATGTTGTTGATGAACATAGACGACTTGTTGTTGATAATGATGATTTTGAACAGATGAGTGTGTGTGTGTGTGCGCGCGCGTGCATACGTGCGTATGTGTGTGTGAGAAAATAAGAAGAAATATTTGAACAGATAGAATTTGGTTTGGCTTGATAGTTCAATAGATAGAAAAAATGAAAAAATAAATAAACAAATAAAATTTTAATATATAAAATTTAGGAGAAAAAATTGAACAAATAAGAATAAAATTTGAACTGAAAATATCATAAAATTAAATAGATAGGGTAAAAAATTGAACAGATAGGGAAAAAAAATTAAACAAATAAATATGAATTTGAATAGATAGGGAAAAAATTGAATAGATAAATATAAATTTGAATAGATAGTCAATAAAATTCAACAGATAAGAAAAAGTTAACATATAAATTAAGGGGTAAAATTAGAACAAAATATCTTTCAAAACAATAAAATGTACTTCTCATCTTAATATTTCACAAATGGTGGATTTCTTACCAAAGAAAAATACTCATAGGACCTAATGTCTTATACATATTCTAAATTGGACTTTTTAAATAATTTTCTCATATAATTATGTCAAAAATATAAAATTAATTATATTTTTTCAAAAATTTTAACGGACGTGAGTATAATTTACCTTTTTATTTTTTGGGTGAAGAAAGAAGGGCAAATTATCCGGAACTCCTATTTGAAAGAGAAGAAATCTATTCAGTCCCATAACTTTTTGGATACTCTAAAAAGTCCACTATGTATTTTTCTTCTTCATTTTTCTCAACCTCTTTCTCCTCTTGATTTTCGGTAACTGGTGATCACGTCTTACTTCTTCTCTTTCTCTTTTTGATATATAGTTATCGATAACCCACGATCATCATTGATTGGGGTTTGCCGGCAACCACAAACCACCTACTTATTACTTTACCTTCATCGACGACGAAGAAGACATGTTTCTGGCAAAGAAGACTAGTAGATCTATATCAGATCCGACTAAATCTAAATTAAAAATAACTGCCGAAGTACAATCTTCTCTCTATATCTGTTTCTCTCATTTGATCTCTCAATTTTTCTCCATTTTCTCTACTACACACTTCTATTTTCATGTTTTAATGGAATTTTTTTTTCAAGTTCTAAATAAGTTATTTTTGAGCTTTAGTTACAGGTGGTGAAAATTATAAAATTTTATAGTTTTAATTTTTTTGGTGCTGAAATGAATCATGTTTTAAAATTGTAAAATTTTATAGTTTCACAACATTCTTTAGAACGATAAAATTTTTTAGTTTCATAACATGTTTTCCAGTTTAACTAATAAGTATAAATGGTTAACAAAATTGTACTTTAAAATTGTAACATTTTACAGTTTCAAAGCTTGCTTTTCAATTTAATTAATATTGGAGATTATTTGTTTAAACCCTATAAAAATTGAAAAATAATATATATATATATATATATATATATTTTCCTATTGTTGTTATTTGTTGTTGTTATGTTTTTTTTTCTCCTTTCAGTTTATCAATATCTAACATATTTTGCTATATTTTTTTCACTATAATTTGTCTATCTAATTTTTTATTCGGTAATATTCTTGACGTCCAGCGAATGTTTTGGACATTTCGGCAACTTCCAGTGACGTTTAGAACACTCTGATAATACTTTGAATAACTTTCGACGATATTTCTGCGACTTTCCGGTGATATTGAACATTTCAGCAAATCTCTAGTGAACGTCTGACTAAAATTCGGTGGTGGTGAAATATAACAGCGTTTTTAAATTTATAATTTTTTTCACCCACCACCCGCCACCTACCCGCCACCCACTACCACCCGCCACCCACCTGCCACCACCACCCACCACCACTTCCCACTCGCTACCACCCACCATGCGCCACCGTCACCCACCCACCCATCCACCACCACGAGTTACCCACCACCCACCGTCACCACTTTCCACCACCGTCTTGCGCCGCCACTTGCCATTTCTCACTCTTTTTTATATTTTTAAATTTTTTTAAATATTTTGTCAATTACCAAACGCGTTTGTAGTTTATGTTTTTTTAAAAATAAATAAAAAATAAACAAAAACCTGTTTATAAAATTTTTGTAAATATAAACTGAAAACGTAAACGTTACCAAACACACCCTTAGTTTGTTTGGTTTCAGTTTTAAGAAAATTCTATTTTTTTATTTTTTTTATTTTTCATATTTTAATGTTTTCAATGATTTTTTTTAATATTTTAAAATTTTTTTTAAAAAATTTTTTTAGACACACCTAACATAAATATACTTAAAAAGTATAATATGTGTGAAAAAAATCTTTAAAAAATACACTAAATACTAAAAAATATGAAAAACATACGAAAACTCAGCACATTTTCGTATTTTTGTGTATTTATTAATTTTTTAAAATATTTTTTCACAAATACTTTACTATTTTAGATACATTTAAGTAAGGTGCATCTAAAAGAGTAAAAAAATTACTTAAAAATTTAAAAATATTCACTAAAAACAAAAAAATACAAAAAATACAAAACTCAGTTTTTAGAAAACTGAAATCAAATACACTGAATATTTCTATCATATGTTTTAAAGTAGCTGTGAGACTTATATTATATAAATTTAGGAAAATTACAAAAAAAACCCCAATGTTTCGCGTGTTTTTCAAATTAAATCCTATAGTTTCAATTTTGACAAATTAAACCCTGGAATTTCTTCCGTGTTTCAATGTGAACCCTCCGTCTATATCCGTTTGATTGAACTAACAGAATCTGGGCAAAGTTCTCAGATTCAAGCACACATGTTCAAACACTTATATCTCCTTCGTCATAATTCCGTTTCGCCTCATTTTTGCGTCGTTAGATTCACCTCATTGCCTAGTTTTCATTTCATCGCTTATACGCTTTGTACCACCTCTTTTTGTGTACCGTTGGAACTTCAAAAGTTGAAAAAAAAAATAAAGATTTGTCTCTCTTAGGAAAAATTTTAGATTTAAACACACATGTTCAAGTACTTGTATCTCTTTCGTCATAACTCCGTTTTGCCTCATTTTTGCGTCTTTGGATTCACCTCATGGCCTAGTTTTCGTTCCATCGCTCATAAGCCTTGTTCCACCTCCTTTTGCATACTGTCGGAGCTCTGAAAGTTGGCCAAAAATAAGTTTTTTTTTTTGGTCTATCTTATATCTCTATACTTCTTCCTTCCTCATTTTCCACAATTATTCTCTCTTTTCCTCTTCCTTCATGGCCCTTTCCCCACTCTTATGTTTCTTTTCGTTCTTATAAGTCATATACATTAATACTCGACGACACCGCCATCGTCGGATGTTCGGTGGCCACCACGAGTTCGGTGGAAGGGCCATGAAGGAAAAGGAAAAAAAAAAATAATTGTGAAAAGAAAGTAGGAAGGAAGAAGCATGGAGATAGAAAATAGAGGAGGGGAAAAAAATATTATTTTTTACCAACTTTTGGAGCTTTGACGGCATACAAAAAGAGATAGAATAAGGCGCATGAGGGGTGAAATGAAAACTAGGCCATGAGGTGAATCCAACAAAGCAAAAATAAGGCAAAACGGAGTTATGATGAGGGAGATACAAGTGCTTGAATATGTGGGTTTGAATATGAAAATTTTGCACAAAGAAAGAAAAATCTTATTTTGGCCAACTTTTAGAGCTCTGACAGTATGCAAAAAGAGATACAAGTGCTTGAACATGTGTGTTTAAATCTGGAAATTTTCCTAAGAGAGAAAATCTTATTTTTCCCCCCAACTTTTGGAGTTTCAACGGCACACAAAAAGAGGTGAAACAAGGCTTATGAATGATGGAATGAAAACTAGGCAATGAGGTGAATCCAACGACGTGAAAATGAGGCGAAACGAAGTTACGATAAGGGAGATACAAGTGTTTGAACATGTGTGCTTGAATCTGAGAATTTTGTCTAGATTTCGTAAGTTCAATCAAACGAATATAGACGGAGGGTTCATATTGAAACACGGAAGAAACTCTAGGATTTAATTTATCAAAATTAAAACTATAAAGTTTCATTTAAAAAACACGCGAAATCCTGAAATTTTTTTGTTTAATTTCCCCTATAAATTTTATGTAAATTTTATATTCATATAAAATATTTGATACTCAGGCCTCGTTTGGCAAGAGGCTATTTTAGTCAATTAGTCAAAAAGTTACTAAATTAGCCAAAAAGCCAACAATTCATACAAAAAAATCAAAGATTCTCTTTTCTCTCTACTTTTTGCACATATTTTCGTAATTAGCCAAAAAGTCATTCCAAATATACAAATTTTTTTTACCTACCTTTTTAACCAAATAACCAAAAAGTTACTAAATTAACCTGTTCCCAAACGAGGCGTAAGTAAATATATTAGTAAAACCTGTCATTACTCTGGTTTATCCTCGGCGCTGCATACACACACTAGCAAGTACCCGAAAAAAAAGACACTCCAGGTTTGGATCGATCGATAGATAGGTAGATAGTTTGAAGTGACCGTCAGCCATGCCAGGACCCGTTGTCGAAGATGTAAACCACAAGAAGCTTCTTGTATTCTCTCTCTCTCACATCAGAAAATTCTTCATTTTAGGGCATTATATATATATATATATATTCATGTATGAATATAATAATTATAATTATAATTATAATTATAATTCGCAGAACGATGAGGCCGTGGTTGAGGACGTTAAAGAAGAAGATGAGCATAACGACGACGACGACCCTGAAGACTCTGACGACGACGACGACAAGGAAGATGGTGCCCAAGGTGCTCCTCTTTTTCCCCTACCCCAAATTAATACTCATCCAAATGTATATGTATATATCTATTGCTTCTATTTTTTTAAGGTTCGATTCATTCATCCTATCTTCTTATCATTTGTTCCGTAGAAATTGGAGTTTTGTAGGCCATTTAATTTGGGTGATTCTTGTTCAATTACAGTATGTTTGGAACCTAGGAAAGAAGAGAAAAGAAAAGAAATGATCATTAAGTTATAAGAGAAAAGAAAAGAACAAAAAATGATTGTGATTTCTCTCTTTATTGTTTGGTTAGATTTCATAAGAGAAGAGAAAGAAACTGTGTTATGTTTTATTACCAAAATAATATTTTTATATTTTGTCACTATATAAGAGCATCATTTTACTGGGACAAAATTGGTGTTATGAAAATATAAGAATTTGTTGATTTCTTTTCTCTCCCAATCTCTCCACTTTTGCGAAGATTGAAAATGAAGATTAAAAGAGACATGAGTTTCTGTCTGTTTCTCTCCACTTATCCAAACAAGTAAGAGAAATCTCTCAATTTCTTTTCTTTTCTCTCAAAATCACTCAATCCAAACATAGTGTTAAGAGTGTTGAATGATTTCAGTGTGTGAAGAGATGCACTTGAAATGTTTGTTGTGGTGTGATTTGATTTTTACAAACTCAGATGCTGCTGCTAGGGACTACTTTCATCTTTATAATTCCAAGGTTTTGTTTGGATCTTGGGTTATAAGAGGGATTTGTAGTGGGAAAGGAAAAAATAAAAATGGAAAAGTGAATGAAAAAAATTAGCTTTTACTTTATTTACTTTTCCATTTTTTTCCCTTTCTCTCAAATTTAGGATCCAACCGTAACCTAACGAGCATATTTCCTTAGTACCTTGTCTTCCTAAATATAATGTGGTGGTTTGGGCTAAGCAAAGTTTTTAAAGGCAAATGTGTAATGTGAGGTGTTTTACTCTCGTGATCCATGGTGCAAGCCTCAAGGCTTCCAGGGGTAAATGTTTCGAATTTTGAATTTTTATATTTAATAAATAAATAAAATATTTTAGAATAGTAAAAAACTTAAATATAGAGGTGTGAGCCCTTTTTCTTAGAAAACATCCAAAATTTCACCGTAGAGAAGTTTGCCCTCATCAAAAGTGAAAACAATATTGATAGCTTAAATTATCGAGCTTCTCACTTGATCCTTAAAAGCGCCTCCAAATCTTTATTAATCTAATTGGGAATCTCAGATAGAACCTGATCTAACTTAGACAATATTCATTGCCTTTAGTTCAGATTGGTCTTCCATACGCAATAGTCAGATTTGTGTTAGCTTTGAGAACTTTTGTCCTCACAAATTATTGCCCGATTGCTCTTATTTCTGAATAAGAATTGATGTGATGCCACACATCATAGTTTATTTAAAATTAAGAGTGATTTAAATCTTATGGATGAGCAGCTTGGGCTGCCTTATATTAACTAAAGTGTAGAATTACCTGCTAATGTATTGTAGTCTGTCAACTTTTGATGTTATAAAAGATGCCCAATGGTTGAAATGCACTATTAATTTGAATGGTACATGGCTATCTTCCTCCGCTTACTCAAAACGTTTCTTTTCCTCGTCAATATTTATGGATTCACAATGTCATGGTTAATTTGTTAAACATGCTTTTGCTTCCGCCATGTTTATTTATGTCAGTGATGCATCATGCAGCTGATTGCTGCTGTTTCTGAAATAATAGTTTCTGAGTTGATCTGCTTTGTTCAGCTATTCCGAGTCTTTGAATTACAAATGCTTTCTACATCCATGTGATATGGACTTAAATGAAATGTTTTTTTGATTATGATGAATATTTTCATTGTTGCCTGTTAAATTATATTGATTGTAAATGAGGTGCAGGGGCAAATGAGAGTTCAAAGCAGAGCAGGAGTGAAAAGAAAAGTCGGAAGGCAATGCTGAAGCTGGGCATGAAATCTGTTACAGGTGTTAGCAGGGTTACCATTAAGAGAACCAAAAATGTAAGCCGTTGTCTATAGTTTTTTGTTTTCTTGTTTGATAGAACTGTAGTCTTTATTTGATGTAGCTTATCTTTCTTAATGATGGAAAACAATTTACCAATTTCTCTCTGTGTTTCAGATTTTATTTTTTATCTCGAAACCTGATGTCTTCAAAAGTCCGAATTCTGAGACCTATGTCATTTTTGGAGAAGCAAAGATTGAGGACTTGAGCTCTCAGCTGCAGACAAAGGCTGCCCAACAGTTCAGGATGCCAGACTTGGGGTCTGTGATGGCAAAGTCAGATATTTCTGCTGCAGCTGCTGGAGCACAGGCAGATGAGGAAGAGGAAGAGATTGATGAGGCTGGGGTTGAGCCTCGTGACGTTGATTTGGTGATGACACAGGCAGGGGTATCAAGGAGCAAAGCTGTCAAGGCTCTCAAGACACGCAATGGAGACATAGTCAGTGCTATCATGGAGCTTACTACCTAGGTAGGCTGTATGATATAACTTGAGTGATTACTTATCAAAAAGAAAAAGAAATATCTACCTCAAGTGATGCTCTCTGATGGTAGATTTCATGAATTGATACCTATCAAAGGGAAAAGTTTTTACAATATTATTGATGTCATTTTCTTATGATTTTTATATTTTTGCACCACCTACTGGCTATACATTATGTTGTTTGTTTCTTTTTTTTTTGTGGTTACTTTTGCTGGCTTTGTACTTTCATGACAAAGAATGCTTTAGTTGCATATTTATAACAACTAATTACTTGTTTAATACAATTGATGGGAGTTACCATGTTTTGAGGATCATAGACTGGGTAGGTTGCTGCAATTTGTGGTAGGAATTGCATGTGCATAATGGAATTTAAGATTGGGTGATTTGAGCTGTGGATTGTGCTACAGTGAATTTTTTTTCCAAATCTTTCAAAAATTTATTGCTTAAAAGTTTGGGTGCTTTTTATTTAAAGAGAAATTTCGCAATTGGTTTGGTTGAATTTGCAGACACTTGAGTTGGCCAAATGGAAAGTGGAAGAAAGAATTTGACTCCCCCAGGTTAGCTTTGATTTGTGAAGTGAAGAAAGATCAAGGTGGTTCTAAAATTCAGTTGAAATCAGTTAGAAGTCCAAGGTTATTTGTCTGTTTGATAGGCTTACAAATATTTATATGGCGAAAGAAGAAAGGAAAAAGAGTTCGGCAATTCATTATTCAAAAACAGTGATGTCTCTGCTTAATCATTTTCTGTTATATTAGGTGATTTCTTAGAATAATACTTGGTAGCTCGAAAATCATTGGCCTAAATTGGCTCAAATATCCAAAACAACGTTGTTTTGGGCATTTTTTTTTCCCCTTTTCTTTTCTTTTATTTCCCTTCCCTCTCTGAAACAGAGAAGAAAGAGAGAAGATGCGAGAAAGAGAGGGAAGGAGAAAAGATGGTGAGGAGGGAGAGGAAGAGAAGAAGGAGACGGTGATGGCGGCGCCGGTCGGCCGGTTGGTGGCTCTCTCTCTCTCTGTGCCAGTGGGTGGCTTCTCTCTCTCTCTCTCATATATATATATAGATGTGTATGTATAGATCTGTGGATGATGATGTGTGCGTATAGATTTGTGTATACACACAGATCTGGCGTTGATGATGATGTGTTAATGGGATGAGGAGAGAAGATGAAGAAGATGATTTGGTGTTGATGATTTGTTTATAAAAAATGGAAGTTCTATGTATACAATTTTTTTTTTTTTTTTGGTGATTGGTGGTTGTTGATGTTGATGATGTTAATGTTGATGATGCTTTCTCTCTCTCTTGGTCCCCTGCTCTATCTCTTTCTTTCTTCTTCTTATTTCATCTTCATCCTCTTTATTTCAGAGCAGAGAAAAAAAAGGAAAAAAAAAAAAAAAAAAATTCAAAACGACATCGTTTTGGATTCGAACCATTTTGAGCCTCATTATTTTCGAGCTACAAAATGGAACTGGATTTCTTATTCTTCTTTTTTCCTTTTATTTTAGTGTTAGGTTGGCAATGGGGAGATAATGTGAACTCTTGTTGGTGTTCGGAAATTTTCCTTTCTTTTTATTGAGAATCTATTGGCTTTGTACAAGTCTGTGTAGGGTCTTGTGTGGACAGGACAGTATCCTCGTCTTATAGCTGATTAAAAGGCTTTCATTTTCCTTAATTAAATTTATGGGTAAATTACCTAACCTCCCCTAAAGTTTGGAGAAAATACATCGAGTCCCACAAATTTGGCTTGATTACACTGGGCGACCTATAGATTTTAGTTCACATAATAATACCTAGCTCTCTTTTTAGCTGTAACTCATTAATCGCACATATGAAAAAAAATGATATTTTCATTTATTGTGTACTGAATTTATACTTTATTATTGTTTATTCGTGTGTCTATACATCATGTTCTAATTGTTTTACTTTTATTCAAAGGGAAATGGGTGTAATTAGGCTAAACTTGTGGGTCTTATTATATTTGTTGTTAGTGGAATTTATGATTCTATTTTGGCAATCCAAAATGATATAGTGATTGAAGTTGTTTTTGCTTGTACTGTGATTTTACACATTGGAGCAAAATTAATAAAAATCATAGAACAAGTGGGATTGAGTAATCCTGGATTTAGGACTGCTCGAATTCTTCATCAAGTGGGTTCTTCGTCATCAATTCGATCAAATCATAGCAAAGCTGTCAAGAGATTCATGGGACTGCTCGAATTCTTCATCAAGTGGGTTCTTCATCATCAATTCGATCGAATCATAGCAAAGCTGTCAAGAGATTCATGGGACTGGGGTCGAATCTCGTGACATTGATTTAGTGATGACGCATCAACCATGAGTGATAATTATCCTAAAAAAAAAAAAAAAAAAAAAAAAAAAAAAACAACCATGATCTCTGATGGTTGGTTTCCTGAATTGATGCCTCACCTTGGTTGGTTTCAATTTTTGAACTCAAATTTTCCGAAAGTCAAAATTTTCTTTTTATATTTCGCATGTTTTTAAGTGAATTTATATATATATTTAAGTATTTTTTAATTTTATTTTTAGATGCACCTAATCTAAATGTACCTAAAAAATAAAAATATTTATAAAAAAATTAGTAAATACACAAGAATACGAAAATGTATTGAATTTTTGTATTATTTTGTATAATTGAATTTTTTAAAGGTTTTTTTTTATCAAATATTATATATTTTAAGTGTATTTATGTAAGATATATCTAAAAATTAAAATATTTGCTTAAAATATTAAAAAAATTCAGTGAGAACAAAAAATGCATAGAATAAAAAATTTAATTTTTTAAAAAGTGGATTCAAAATTCAAAATTAAGATTTTTATATTGTTTCACACCACCTACTGGCTAGGAGGTACATTACGCTTTTTACTTGTGTTTGGCTTTGAACTTTGGTGACAAAGAATGCTTTATTTGCATATTTATAACAACTAGTTGTCCTGTTGGATATCATTCATGGGAGTTTTCCATGTTTTGAGGATCATAGACTGGGTAGGTTGCTGCACTTGTGCTAGGAATTGTATTTGCATAATGGAATTTAAGATATGTTGAATTTTCAGACAATTGAAAGTCTGCTAAATAGGAAGTGAAAGAATTTGGTACATCCTGGCAAGATTAGTTTTTCTCTTTGTGAAGCGAATGAAGAGAAAGGTTGTTATAAAATTCAGTGAATTCAATTAGAGGTTAACTCGTCTGTCTGGCAGGTTGACAAATATCGATACAGTTAAGAGAAAAGAAAGGAAAGGAAAATGAATTCGGCAATTCATGATTCAAAAACGGTGATGCGTCTACTTAATCATTTTCTGTTATTTTAGGTGACTTCTTTCTCGTCTTCCCCATCTTTGTTTTAAGCGTTAGGTTGGCGATGGGGAGATAATGTCGACTCTTGATGGTGTTGGAGAAATTTAATTTTCTTTTCTTTTTATTGTGAGAGTATTGGTTTTGTATAAATCTATGTAGGGTCTGGTGTCGGCGGGACAGCAACCCCATCTTATAGCTGATTATATGGCTATCATTTTGTTAATTACTTTATTGGTAACTTGTGGGATTTGGTAACGATATAGTGATCGAAACTTTCTTGCTTGTGCTATAATTTTACAAATTGGATCATAGTAGATAAAAATTGTCACAACCCGAACCCGCCCCCATGGGTTAAGGACGTAACCGGCCAGTAATCCTGAGATTACCTACGGCCTCAAACCAAAATAGACATAAGTCAACCGAATATAGTGGCCAAACGGAAGCAATAATAAAAAATTTTGTCCATAGAGCCGTGCTTATATACACTTCAAAACAAACCAAACTTATATACGTTAATAACCCACGTCAAAAGTACAGTACCATAAATTTCATTACAGACAAGATCATCCAAGATCTTTCATCATTCCTCTCTTTAGTTGATCTTCCTACAATTCAATCGAACCTCTCCAGCACCACCCGTTAAAACCCCAATTTGACCCATCTTCACCATAGCAGCAGCAAATTTGCTTCCCCAAACAAAGGTGTTCATTGCATTTTGATTAACTTGGTTCGCTGTAGCTGAGTTTGTCAGGAGAGTCTGGTCTGAAGTGAATAAACCTCGGTTAGCCAAAATATCATTGTAGTAGCCTACATCCATTACGTTCGGGCTGGAGGGGTCCATTGGGACCACCAAGTTAGTGTTTGTGCTGCCCTGAGGGCACTTCTGCTTAAGCTGGGATGCATATTGGGAATCCAGAGTCGGATCCTGGTTTGTTGTTGTGTTGAAATTGTATAGTCTGGGGCTAAAGGACGTGCAGTGAGCACGACCTATAGTGTGTGCTCCTGTCAATGAAAAATATTAGAATCGTTGTTGTTTTTTTGAATTCGATTAGTGTGTCCACATTCGACTTGTGAGATGATTCGAGGTTCTTACCGGAGAGTGTAACCATTTCTTCTTGTGTTAGTCCCTTGTTACCAAAGATTTGGGTGAGTTGGTTGACGTTAGATGCAGGAGAAGGTAGATTCGTATTTGCTTCGGAAGCTAACGAAACTCTGCCATCTCTTCTTCCAGCAGGAACATCATAGCCAAGTCCTCCAGCCTGCAAAGAACACAAACAGTTAGATTATATATATATATATATATATATAAGCAACTTTGCCCGGATGAGCTCAAGAGCCTAAAGAATGTAGGTGTTGTTACCATCTCGACGCTATCTCTTGCAGCAAAAGCAACTATATCTGCACAGGATACTTTTCCTGGACAGAGAGTTTCAAGCCTAGCCTTTGCATTATCGATGGTTTCAAACCCTCGAAGGCTAGGATTATTGGCCGGAGCATCTTTCTCTGCTGTGTTTGATGTAGTTGAGTCGATGAGAACTGATCCATCACAACCCTGGAATTACCAAAGAGAGACATAGGTTACTTGAGTGAGAAGAGTTTTTGGAAGCTGAAAGTAAATTACAGAGAGAGAGAGAGAGAGAGGGTGTGTGTGTTTGGTGCAATTTCTTGCAAGTTGAATGCTCTTAATCAGAATTGGAAGCTAAAACACCTCTTTCTTACTTCTCAATAATCTACTTTTTTAAGCTTATGTTAGCTAAGCAGAAAACTGCACCGAGAGAGAGAGAGAGAGAGAGAGAGAGAGAGAGAGAGATTATGGCATATACTCACCCTAACAAAACAATCATGAAAGTGCATTCTGACTAGACCAGCAGCCAGTCCCATATCACTCATGTACGCTTTCCTAACCTCATCTTTGACAACAAACTCAGCTATGGCACATGAACTTGTGTAAAACCCCACTTGAAGCTGAGCTTCCAACCGAACACTTGCACATAAAACCAAAAAGAAAGCTATGCAGACACAAGTTAGCTTCTTTGAACTCATTGTTCTTGTTTACAAGTTTTTGTTTTGCTTGAATGGTTATAACATTATTAGACCTATATTATATAGACGATTAGCGCGTAATTTACTGATTCATAACCCTGCCCCATTCAAATATTATAATCGTTTAGTGCCATGTGAGAAGGCAATAAGCTGGAATGTTGTTATTTTACTCGCTCGCATAAGGTCATTAGCAAGTGTTTTGAACTGTTTCGTAGCAGAAGAAAAGGACAACTTGTTTCGGTTTCGACTAGAAATACATATATCTATATAGGGGGTGTTTGGCAAGAAAGTTTTTAACTGTTTTTAGGTTAAAATTCACAAAAAAAAAAAAAAAATGTTAAAATAGTTAGTAAGACAAAATGTCACATCAAATTCATAATCATTTCATTTTTTCTCTCATAAACATGGCATCTAACTACAAAAAAATTCAACCATCTTCTTAAACACAAAAATTTTAATCTACTGAAATAATCAAAAACTAAAATAATAACTTCTCAAACATTCACATTGTTTATGTATATATCATTGGATTAAAGTCGAATTCAAAAATTAATTTTATGTTAGACTTGAGTGCATGAAACTCCAAAGATAGTGGTTAGAGATGTTTATATATTTACATATGTAAAGTGTATAATTTGCTTTGTGATAATCACTAATTAATCTAGTCTGCATATTGGGTCGGTTTGTCTTGTGTCTATAGTGCACAAATTGGGGAAGGTATTTACTGTCTAGCGTGTCAATCACATCTGAGTGCTCTTGAGTTGCCGTGAAAAGATAAGCTTCTATGACTGCTGTTTCATGGAGAAAGTGTTTGATGATGAGATATTTGGATTAAGCTAGGCCTAGATATAAATGGGTTGGGTCCGGTGGGCTCCATATGACAACAAATTGCCTGAATAGTATTGTTTGATTATACATGGAAAATCTTTAGGCTTCAAAATAATAAGCCAAGAGAATAATCTAAGATCGAATTTCTGATAAATATTAGTTACAGTGTAATGGTATCAGGAGTATCAAATAATCAGGTAGCGAAATTTTTAAAAAAATATTAGCCAAAGCTTTATAACAATTAAATCAGCATCATCAATAGTGAATTGAATCAAGTTGTGTGTCAGCTATGATTTGAGCATTTATCCTTCTCCATAATATCCTAAACAAACATTGGATAACTAAAAATAGTCCAATCCAGACATCTAATCCCATGACTAAACAAATATAGAATACAAATTTAATCCAACTAAATAGTCTGATGGATTACTATCCCCTTATTCAGTCCGTCAAAACAAACTCACGTGTTTCATTTCCATCTATATACACGATGTATTAGTATGGGAAGGCTTTTAAAAATTAATATGTATTGACTTTGAAAATTTTTAGTAGCCACTAGGGATAGGGATGGCAATTGGAACCCGGCCCGACGGGGACCCGATCCCCCGACCCCGAATTGAGTGGTTATTCCCCGAAAATTACCCCTGACGGGCCAGGGATGGTATTAAAAATTAAATCCCCGATGATATTCGGGCCGGGGACGGGGATACATGTTTCAGCCCTGGACCCGGCCCGTCCCTGTCCCCGATCCCCGCCCCGCTGAATCCCCGATGTAAAATTACTATATTGCCCCTTTTATATATATTATATGTGTGAGTGTGTGTAGGGTTTGGGCACTGTTGGCAGACCGTCTCGCTCTCTCTCATCTTCTCGCTCTCTCTCATCTGTTCCTCACCGCAGACGCAACCCCCACACACACACCTTCTCGCTCTCTCTCATCTATTCCTCACCGCAGCCCCTCGTGGTGTCTCCTCTCACCGCACCTCCGTTCTTCTTCTCTTCCTCTCACAGCACCGTCTCTCATTGTGAGGCAACAACGTAGAAGTAGAAGGGCGAATTCATTATTACTAGGCTTGTCAGCACCGTCTCTCACCGCACCGTCTCTCACCATGTCGGCGACGGCTCCTCCCTCACCGTCGTTCCTCACCGCAGCTCCTCCTCTCTCCCTCTCACGGTATCTCCTTGTCTCTCTCTCTCTCACGGTATCTCCTCCTCTCTCTCTCTCTCTCTGTTTTTTTGATTTTGTTCTCTGTTTATTGATTTTGTTCTTCAGATCTGAAAATGATAAAGATGAAGATGAACAATGTTGATCTGTGTTGATGAAGGTTTTTGATTTTTTGATCTGTGTTTGATTTTTTGATCTGTTTGTTGATGAACATGTTGGTCAAGGCTTTTGATTTTTTTATCTGTGTTAGATCTGTTTGTTGATCTGTGTTAGATCTGTTTGTTGATCTGTTTTTGAAAATCTCTCCCTCTGTTTGTTGATGGACATGTTCGTCAAGGTTTTTAATTTTTTGGTCGGGGAATTTCGGGGTCGGGGAAATCCGACCCCGTTAGGTAAAGCTATGTTTAATATTGCTATTACTTAGTAAATAATTGAAAATGATAAAATGGTCATTTGAGCATTTATCCTTCTCCATAATATCCTAAACAAACATTGGATAACTAAAAATAGTCCAATCCAGACATCTAATCCCATGACTAAACAAATATAGAATACAAATTTAATCCAACTAAATAGTCTGATGGATTACTATCCCCTTATTCAGTCCGTCAAAACAAACTCACGTGTTTCATTTCCATCTATATACACGATGTATTAGTATGGGAAGGCTTTTAAAAATTAATATGTATTGACTTTGAAAATTTTTAGTAGCCACTAGGGATGAAAGATACCCACCAATAACAAAAAAATAAAAAATAAAAAAGAAAAAAGGAAAGGAAGAAAGAAAGATTGCTCGTGTAGTTTTAAATAGTCAAGATAAAAAAAAGAGAGAAACTTTAAAACATAGAGACTTGTTCCATCATTGAAATGGTTGAGTAACTGCAACAACCTATCTTACTTAGGAGACATATTCATGCAGGAAAGTTGGTGGAGAGAGAGAACAAGTTTTTTTTGAAGGAGTACATGTCAAAACATAAACATAAAACGGTGTGACTTCGTCAACAACTTCCTCTTTTACCAAAGTAGTTATTTTTAATTAAGGGTTTAAATTATTATTATATATATATATATATGTATTTTTTTTTGATCGCCAAAAGAAATCTTTATTAATGAAAACATGCAGAGTATGGTAATATACATCAATAAAGAAGAGCTTGGAGCTAACTCAAGCTCTAAGCTCCAATTGGTGAGAAACCAACAGACAAAGCAAAAGCCATAGCTAGGCACAAACAAACAACCAATAGACACTGTTGGCCAGAAATAGACCCACAAAACAGCTTCAACACAACCATAAGCAGCCAGCTTCTACTGAAAGGTAGAGTAAGACTAGGATTATTAGCAGACTAGCAGATTAGCAAGACTATTAGCAAGCTACCATTAGCATACAGTTTCAACCCTCAAACCCTCTTTTTAGCACAAGAGCACTACAATAGGGCATATAGATCAACTAAACCCAGCTTGACAGCTTGACAGATCAACTCAATGGCAACCCCTTATTTGCCTCTAGTTGAGAATAATATCATTGACAGAGAAGGAGAAGTCCTTGAGAGAGGCTTTGAGCCAAAAAACTAATCTGACCTTGATGTGTTCCCACAGGTCAGCCGAGTTAGGATGGACATTAGCGAAAACACACTTATTCTTATGCTTCCAAAGAGACCAGAGGACAACTAGGGGAATGGCTCTCCAAATTTTTTTGAGTAAACGCTTAAAATTCACCCCCATCCACCAATTGAGCAGACCTGGCACAAATATTGGAATGCACCATTGAAGACCCCAATCATGAAGCACAGAGAACCAAATGGCCCAAGAGAAAGTGCAATGTAGCAGAACATGATGAGCAGATTCCGGAGCAGAATTGCAGAAGATGTAAGAGGTGGAATAGTTGTTACCTAGAATGCCAAGATTGTGCAAGAATTTAGATGTTTTAATTCTATTTTTCCAGGCCAACCAACCAAAGAAGTGGACTTTGGGGGGTAAGGTGTGATTCCAAATAAACTTGCACATATTGAGAGGAGGCCTAAGAAGAGATGAGCTAAAGGAGTATAATGAAGACACAGAGAAGATACCAAAACCAGCACCTGCAGGAGCCCAAGCCAAACTATCAACTCACTCAAGACTTAATGTAGGAGTAGAGGATAACAAGGCAAACAGTCTAACTTCAACAGCCAATTCCCAAGCATATAAACATTTTCTATATAGGAAGTTCCAATTACTAGAGTTAGTTTTCATTGCATAAAAAAAAGTGAAGGGAACCAGACTTGGCAGAAGAGAGAGTGAATAGAGAAGGGAACTCATCCTTGAGGGAAGTGACTCCACACCACTTATCATGCCAAAATTTGATTTTGCGGCCATTTCCCACTTTGATTAGACAGTTATCCAAGAAGTAGTTGAATATGTTCCTACTTTGAACCCTTATGAATGTAATGTCCTTCCACACCCTAGAATGTTTGTAGGAATATTTCACGAGAGGATGCTAGTAGTCTACCTTTATCTTATATTTACTGCATATAACTTGCCTCCATAGTACATTAGTTTGAATATCAAATTTCCACCACCATTTGAGAAGCAGACAAGTATTGACATCCCTAATCCTCTTGATACCCAGACCCCCTTGGGGAACACTCTTTGTTACTTCTAACCATTTCACCAAATGAACTTTCCTTTTTAATTCAGTACCACTCCACAGGAAAGCAGTCTCAATTTTCTCAAAGTCACGAGCCACACCTTCAGGCATCCGAAAGAGAGAAAGATAGTACACAGGTAAACTTGATAGGACAGACTTAATCATAGTTAATCTTCCAACGACGGACAACTTTTTCCTCACCTATCCTGAAAGTCTTGCTCTAACATTGTCAAGCATAGGTTTCCAAACTGATTTCCTACTTGGGTTGGCATCTAAAGACAGCTCAAAAAATTTCAAAGGTAAGTTAAGCACCTTACAATTCAAGAGGTGTGCAAAAGAATGTAGTGACTCCTCTGTCACACCAACTCCATAAACAACACTTTTGTGGTAATTGATTCTTAGACCGGATAAAATTTCAAAGCATCTAAGGA